ATTCTACATGACTTAAAACCTCAGTAAGACATACATCTTGAAAGAGAAGAAGGGGGCTGTACACAGGGTGTACATAGGATGTGTCCATCACTACTGATGATAGTAGTCTTGGTATTATTATTCTGAGCCTGTTGTAAGTGTATTGTAGCATAAGCAAATAAGTACGCTAGTATCATTAAGAATTAAGATTGTAGGATGGTCAGTTGGGGAGAAAGGACATTGATATGATACTAGATTTATGTGACTAAATTTAAAACCTGTTGGTCTATATATTAATAGGAAGTATTAGCGTGAGCTCCTGATGTATTTAATCTTAAAATTCAACACACACACACACACACACACACACACACACACACACACATTTTTCGAGTTTTTTCCTTTGAAAGGGCCTATATTAAGGACAAAGTCAGTAGCAATGAGCTCACTAATTTCAAGATTGCAGTTTTCAAGTACTAGTTCCAAGACCAAAAAAAAAAAAAAATAGAACTAGAATTTCTTGGATAATTGCCTGATTCCAGGTTTGGAAAGGAAATGTTAAAGATGAGCCTGTTATATTTGGTCACATCAATTATCCTGGAAGCTCTCAAAAACTGGGGGTTCTTTCAAAAACACAGAGGAACCAACTGAGATAAACTTTGAGTACTCAGAGATGTGGCAAACTGGGCGTTCATAAGTATGATAACTGCAATAGCTTGAAGCATATTAATGTTCATAATGAAATTTTTAAAACCATTGGTAAACTGTAGAGGATGTTAAGGAACCACACACTATATTAAGAACTGATAAAGGGAGAGAATCAAGCATCCATCCTGATTTTCTTATAAAAATTGAAACTCTAGCAAACTAGTTTATCTTTATAGAAGCATTCCACTCAATAAATAAACCAGAAATGACAGTTATATTGCCATTTTCAAGCTCTAATGAATAAATAGACGTAGGCAATGATCAACACCAACTGCTAACATCACAAAAAGAGAAAGAACCAGTAGTCTTGCCCCTCATCCCCTAAATGAATTTGATCAAGTCTTCACTACCCATTAACAGGTAAGAAACAGGGCTGAGGAGCTCATTAAATGACTCTGCAGCAATGCATCAGCAAAAGCAGACTATGGAATGCTCTACAGCACAAACAATCCAGTTTCTTAAGAAACAAGGAAAAATAAACATAAACCTATAGATTAAAAGAGGAGACATATTAACCAATTACAATGTATGGACCTTATTTGTATCCTGCTTCAAATAGTAAAGAATACAAAACTATAGAAGACAACCAGAAAATGTTGAATATTGGTTTTGTATATTTGAGAATAGTAAGAAAATGTTGACTTTTTAAGTGTGGTTAATTTTCTAGATGTGGTTCATTTTTAAGTTTAAAAAAATCTTAATCTTTTAAAGATAAAGACTGAAATGTTACCAGATAAAATGATGTCATGTCTGGAATTCGCTTCAAAATAATTTGAGGTGGAAGTGGAAAGTGGAAACAACAATTATGAAACAAGCTGACCCATGAGATGATAGCTGTCAAAGGTAGGTATGGTTATATAAAATTTCATTACCGTTTTCCCTCTACTTTTCTAATATATTCTTAATTTTCATAACAAAAAGTTATATACACTTAAAAGTAGACAAATACATACTAATTTGAGGTGATGGTTAAGGACTCAGAAGTTACAGTCCATGTGTCTGAATGAAGGTAGTTTCTCAAACACGCAGATATCAGAGATTTGTAGGATTCTCTCCATGGAGAACCTTGTTTTCTCCACACAGAACACTGGTTTCTGAGCAAGGGTGGGCCCTTTTTCTGAAAACAGATCAGGGAATATGAAAGCAGTTGGCTACTTAACTGAAGATACCAAAAGGAAAAAAAATAGGACACCAAAAAACTGGGTCTACAAATGTGGTTGTTGGTTCTCCTTGTTTGTTTCAAATAAGGCTTGGTTTAGGAGCAGTCTAATAAAGCATGTGACTGCTATACTTCCAACAGTATCTTTGCAAATAAATACAACCCATACAATTCAACTGTCCATCCCACTTTTCCTGTTTGTTTATTGCTCTTCAACAGCACCTAATGCTTTTTAATTTTTTCATTCTAAGGCAAGGGAAAGGGATCTCTAGAGAAGTTAAAAAAGTTTTCTGAAGTCAAATAATTCATTAGAAAGTGTGTTTTATCCAGAATCCTACTGTTTTGCTGCAGAAGGAACACTGAGTAGCTTGTCCAAGGTTCTGCCAAAAGAAATCTCTTCTCTCACGCTCGTCTGAATCCAATCCTTCCAAAATAACATGCCCAGGTCTAATAAATGGAGTTCCTAAAAGGACGGATGTCTCCCATTTAAAAAAGTATTTCCCAGAGTCTCTAGGATTCAATGTCCTACAAATAATCAGCATTCAAGATATGAATTTACTGACTTTTAAAAGCTATACAAATTTAAAATTTTCAATATTATTTTACAGTCAATTATCCCATCTATAATATTACTGTCTAGCATTATTATAAAAGTATCATCACAAATGCTAATGATCAATTTCACGAAATGCCTGAAAAGGTCATGGGAGATTTAAACTCTGATGTGTGCTTTGGAGGAGAATCAGCTTTTGGAGAAACAAGGCTAGGGAGCACTTTTTGAGACCGATTACATTTTTGGAATTATTTGCCAAGTTGTATTGTAGAAATGGTAACAAAACTTCTTCGTTTTCTTTTCTTTCTTTCTTTCTTTTTTTTTTTTTTAGATGGAGTTTTACTCTTGGTGCCCAGGCTAGAGTACAATGGCATGGTCTCAGCTCACTGGAACCTCCACCTCCCAGGTTCAAGCGATATTCTTGCCTCAGCCTCCCAAGCAGCTGCGATTACAGACGCCTGCCACCACGCCCAGCTAATTTTGTATTTTCAGTAGAGCTAGGGTTTCACCAATATTGGTCAGGCTGGTCTTGAACTACTGACCTCAGATGATCCACTCACCTTGGCCTCCCAAAGTGCTGGGATTACAGTCATGAGCCACTATGCCCCGCCAATTATAACTAAACTTTAAAAAATATTTGTCCCCATAGCTAGAATTTTCATTAGTGTATTTATTTTTTTCATGTAGTCTTGTTTACAATGGGCCATTTTAAAAGTTGCTATCCCAGGCTTATAAAGCAATTTTATGATGTACTCCTATCGACCATATGAAAAGCATTCATCTCTGAGAAAGTATCATAAAGAAATCCGACTGTAATGATAACTCAAATATTAAAGTAAACATAAAAAATTATATTGTATGACAGAATATCAAAGGAAATAGAAAATCTCTGCAAGAGGGTATTTAATTTCTGATGAAAACAAAATAGTACTCTTTACAATTTGGTCTATCACATGACAGTATTTCTCAAACTCCTGCTAAATTAATGTTGGAGCACAGTTCTTCAGGCATTAATGATTTTAGTTATGGTCAATGGTAGTTGATATACAGATAATAACTGATAGTGATATCAAATCTGTACATATTTGACTCTCTCCACATTTCTAAGTGATCTAGACCAGAACTAGGTTGTTTATATGGTAGCCACTAGTTACATGTGGGCTATTTATATTTAAATTAATTGAATGTAAATAAAATTCAAAATTAAGTTTCTCTGTTGCACTAGCCATGTTTCAAGTACTCAATAGCCACATATGGCGAGTGAGTACCATATTGGATGGTGCAACTATGGAACATGTCCATTATCACAGAAAGTTCTACTGAACAAAGTTGGTCTACATTAGAGAGGCTACTACTGATGAATGGAAAATCTCAAATATATACATAAATGTGTATATATACATATGTATAATCTATTTCTATAGCAATTTTCCTTTTGTTATAGGAGGTTTCATTAAATATGTCAAATTTAAATTTTTTTCTGGAAACATTTATATTTTAATGTAAACAGTTAAAATTGTGCCATGAGCACTGTACTATAGATTTTCATTTTCCTTGTATTACAAGGATAATGAATTTCAAAAGATTTCATTTTCTCAGGATAGTGAATTATAACATTACTTTGTCTTCTCCTTCAAATCTTTCTTTATAAACATCTATTCTAAGCCCTCTCTGCTTCCAACTTTACTCAGCAAAAGCCTACCTCTGTTATGCAGCAAGGAATTCCTACTTTAGAAGGTAGCACTTTTGGCCTCAACCTCCACATTTGTGAAGTTTATAAGTTACATAAAAAATTCAGTTCCTAGCCAAGTCTTCTTATTGGGTGAGGAGGCCCTTCCAAAGTTCCAGCGAATTCCTTAGTCTGACACAACTTTTCTCAATTTAGAAAGATGCATTAGGTAACATATATTAAAAGGCAGAAATATGCAAATGCATAAACAATAGAATTTGGCATAATTATGTGATAAAGTGAAATGTTCCTGCAGTTAGTTATTGAACATGAAGGATCTCTCTCATTCTTCAGAGAAACTGTGAGATAATCTCTACCATTTATGCTTAGCAAGGAGCCATACTGCGGAGGAAAAGTAGAAATACACACGAGTGACAAAAGCAAAAAAATATATATATGAAAAACTCTCAAACCACCTTCGATGAAATGTAATATGTCTGCATTTAAAGACTAGGTAAATCACACAGTGAATTTAGAAGGTGAAAAACGATGTCTATAATTGCATGAGTATATAGAAAATGTTAAGTATTTTGTGAAAAGGTAGGTAACCAATAACGAAAAATCATTTCATATTGAAAATAATTTAATTTTAAAAGTAGATAGTACAAACACAAAAATAAAAATAAAAATAAAGTCCAAGTAAGGAAATAGTAGAAATTTCAAATATTTTAGGAATGTCTTTCTCCAGAGTAGCATGTTGTTTAGAAACTAAATTTCCACAGTAGATTTCATAACTTCTGAACATGAATTAGAACCTTGATATTAGCTGCAGAAATGTACATTAGTTTTGGGGAAAGGGAGAAATAAAATAATGTGCCAACCTCCCAACCATATCCCCAAACAGATTTTTGCATCTTGGTCATTACACTTACTTTCAAGATACTTTTCTCGGTTTAAACATGTAATCTTGTCTCTTTGCTCACTTGCTCACTCTTCAAGCAAGCCTACAGCCAAATAAATTGCCATAAATGTTTACCAGTAAACCGTTATTTTCCAAGGAATTTTTTCTTAATTTTTTAAATTTAACAAGTTTAACTACAATTAAGAAAGTACTCCTGGCACAAGGACTTTGAAACATTGTTTGGGTCTTGGAAAAGTTTGAAACTTCCAATTCATTAGGACTTTGAGTAGCTATTTTGTACCTAAGAATGAGAATTGATGGAGAGATTGGGACTAAACACATAATTTTATGAAATATGATGAAAACATGAGAGTTTTGGTATGACGTACGTAACGATCAAGAACCCGTTTCTTTTTAGCAGGCTCCTAAAAAGTACTTCCCTTATAATTACTAAATAAAAACACTCACTTATTCAGTACTCAGCTAGCTTTTAAAATCTGAATAACAGAAGTACACAGTGAGAGAGGTACTTACATGGTTTCCTTGGATACTGGATGATGCCATTCAGGTCTATGTTTTTATCTGAAAGTGGTGCCCTGTGGAGAAATGAGACTTGGTGAGTGGCTGTTTATACATAGTAAGTAAATAGGAACTTTGTTTATTTTACAAAGCATTTTTTATTTTGACCCAGCTTTCCTTTTCTATCACACCCAACTCCTGTAAACAGCATTAATATAGTAGAACAGGTACTCTGTACAACTCTTTTTAACTCCACTTAAGAAATCATAATTATTAAGCAGAAGTTCAGAATGCTTTGGCTAAGGATGTTACTCCTTGGATTGCTGTATATATCTTAACTATTTTATTTATGTCAGACATATTAATGAATATTGCTTGCCTCTCTATTTTCCTCAAAAGGAATATTTCTCAAACCACTAATAAAGAAATTAGTCTAAAACATTAACATAAATGATAAATGTCCTTACCTTAACCAAAAGATAAGAGAACTCAAGCTTTAGCCAGTTTCTAAACATGAAGGGATTGCATAGACCTTAGCTGCCATTTTACATGTTCTAGTGGCATCCTAGATTCCCAATGGTTTTAGTGCTATGAGCATACAATTTTGACACCCAGTCCCTCAGAACTACACACATTCTAATTTTGGTAGCATGATTAATCCCTCCTATGTGATAAGTTATTTAACCTTCTAATATTTCTTAGAATCGAAAAGAACAAATGAGTTGCAGCAAAGAATGGCAAATAACTTTAATGCTTAACACAGTTTAATAACCTGAAATGAAGTAAGTATGTGCTACGTTTCCATTAAAAAGTTTCCAGCCACAATTAATTGAACGAAAACTTGTCTTGTTCCAAGATTATTCTTGGAAATGTAATTTTAAAATCTGCTTGAAATGAGGAAACTTACTTTTTTATACCATATGAAAGCAATTTCATTTTTTAGGAATGATTTTTGGATAGACTTCCGATTGGATATTTTCCATTGGAACTAGCAGCATAGGGGGTCGGGAGGGGGGAGGGGAGGGAAGCAATTCTGTGTTCTTTCGCCAGCACTGACAAAGGTCTGGTTGTCAGTGATACCTTTACAGCTAAATTTACTCCAGAGTGACAGAAACAGGTGCACCTCGGCCTGCCAGACACTTGTGCAGAGAGATCACGCATCTCACGGCTTGACGATCAAGGGGGCAAAGCCTCGGTCTTCATAGAAAAGGAGAGGAGGCAAACGCAGCCCAAACTGGGGGGTTTCTCTTCAAAGCCAGCTGGTCTGGCTTTATTCTACAGGAATTTTTTTACCTGTCAGGATTTGGACAACAAAGCCCTCAGCAGGTGCTGACGGGTACAACTTCCTGGAGAAGCAGAAAGGCACTGGTGAGTTTCAATTGCCAAAATACATTTTTTAATCTCTAAAAGTTAATGTTGTTGTCTTGAAAGAGGCACCACTGAGGTACCTGTGTTCACAAAGTTGATGAGACCATTGGAATCAGAGCCAACTCACTCAACAGTGGATTTGCCTGGTGTGAAAGTAAAGCTGTTAGCATATAATAATTTTTCAGTTTTTTTTCTTTTTTTAGGTTTTAAAAAAGATTCTATTTTTAAATATTGGTCTCTTTCATTACTGTTTTCAATCTTTGGAAGATGAAGAGTTAATTACATTTATAATGTTACATGATTTAACACATATTTTAGTCTTCTTTTATCTAATTATCTAATTCTGTCATAATCTTTTCTGAATAAAAAGCTATTTTCTAATAAATCTCCCAAATAAAAAGGTGCAATGGTGGTACACACTGTTTTCGAAAATTACATGTACTGGCTTTTTAAAACGTGTGCATGCTACAAGAACATGAATAGAGAGAATACGCAATTAACTTTATTTTAATACATTTTTAAAACATATATTGCATGTATAATTAAATAATTTAAAATATATTGCATGTTTAATAATTAAATAAAAGTAAATTGTATTATAGTAAATATTATTTAATAATTAAAAGTGGCAATATTTTCTCATTACTTTACAAAGAGTGTCTTTTGAGAAAAATCTTTGAAATTAACAATAAGACAGTATTAAAGCAGGTTTTTACATCATTGATTTCCAAAATTAGTATATTTATATATTTTTTATTTTTATTTTGTGAATTCAAAAGTTTAGGCAAAAATATTTTCTTCAGAATAGGATTTTAATTAATGCAAAACATGAAAAAATGAGACCACATGTTAGGACATATTTTTAAAAAGTGATTCTATTTCAGGGATTCATTCTTTTAACTATGCTTCACAGCATTTTTCTACAAATTGTTGTATTATAGTAAATTGAAAACATTTATTTAAGCAAGTAAGCAGCTCAAAGCTAGAGCCTATACATAGTAAACATATGAAACCATTTTAATAATCAAATTCCATATTCACAAGCAACATGGGCTAATTAATTTAACAGAAACAACAGTATACATTGATCAAGAATGTTATAAATTATTATGCATAAAATCAATTTTCTAGGCTGTGGGGGGTAGAATTGGTGCTTAAGAAAGAAAAGACTCCTACCAATATAAATTACTAATACTATGAGGCAATTGTTTTATTCTGATGATCCCATAAATAACTTTCAATCTACATCCTTTATACATGATTGTATAGTGGAAAAAAAATAATGACCGCTGTATCTGAAATAAATTTTAAATCAATGACGACATGGATATGCCACAAATGTATAACTAATACACTCTTTTAAACTGTCGTAATTACTGTTGAAAATTGTGAAATATTTGTGGTTTAAAAAATTATCAGAACTACTCCACGCAAGCAAAATATCTAATATTTTAAAAATATAATGTTATCCACAAACATTTTAATGAACTCATATTTTAAAACATTAAACCCAAATATACTTTTTATTATAAATTGTTACATGTATGTTATATTTCAAATTATTAAACCATTTAAAAATATATATGTATTTATTGCGATTAAGCTGCTACTTTCATATATTTTGTCATGCTTCATTATGTTTCATTATATTGATTCAGACACCTGAGTAACTGTAGTCGCTAAATTTTTAGAATAACTTCATTAGTCTCTTAAAGAATTAGTTTGTATTTCATGCACTTGAAAATTTTACTTTTATTTTTCTAGTCTGTTAAATGCTACATTCCTAAACAATCACAATATTTACTTTTAAAGATGATGGTTACTGCAAAACTGAACAACATGTGTTCTTATTTCAACTTCAGAATTATATTTGTTAAGTTTTCACGTGCATTACCATTGGCTATAATTACTACATTGTCATTAAGTATAAGCAAACCAAAAGCTTCTGTCAAACTATTGTTTATGACTCTGTCAATTATCTAAGTATAAATGAATCTACTGGAAATAATGTTAGATATAACTCAAGTATTTCAAAATAACTAAAGTTATCATTTTAACTGTGCCTGAATTGTAGATTTAATCTAAAATCACATTATTTTTTTCTTTTCATTATGAGAAGCTGTAAATTCTTGTCCACCATGCAGCTATGTTTGTCCTTTCTAATAAATCTTCAACATATAAAAAAAAAAAAAACACTATGCCAACTCCCTCAATATGTGGGAATGGTTTATTTTAATAAAATATTGGAGTTTAAAGTAGCATTGATTTACACCTGCTCTAAATATTTAACATTAAAACATAGGCATTTCAAGCATTATTTGCGAGATATCTTCCTATCTTAAAGACAGCTTATTTACAGTGGAGAAAAATTGTTTTCCTGTTTCAGAAAGACACTTGGAAAAACATGTTATTTAACCTTACATATTAATAGGGAAAATCTTGATTCTACCAGTAATTAACTTCAATTAATTATATTTTAAATATCAGCCTATTTAATTTCAATGCAACAAATTTCCAGCTAAAATGATTTACTTGTAAGTATTTAAAGCAACAAAATATTTTGGCAGCTTTATATGTATCTCCTCATTGACCAGCCACCTGACTGACAGTTGTCAACTGTTCATGTGCCAAATGTAACCCAATAAAGATAAAAATTACATATTACTCATCCCTGTTGATAATACCTGGTGCCAGTAGGTTTCAAATAGGAATAACTAGACTATAGATAAAACACAAGTAAGTGGGGAATCATTTCTACTGCCTACTTCTCCTCCCCTGTCATTAACTCATTTCCCCTTCTTTTTCTTATTGATCCCTTTTCCCTTGCTATTCGTATCTACAGAGTTATTTTCCTTAAAGGAACTTTCAGAGTATGTTACAAGTCTGTGTCCATGAAAATACTGGGCAGCCAGGTAATAATGCCCACACATTTCTTTTAGTCCTATTTTCTTTTAAGCTCATAAACTATTTCAGAGTTATGGGAAGAAAGCTTTAAAGCTTTCAGCTTCTCATTTTCAAAGAAAATGAAATCAAAGAACAAAAATGAAATTTACCAAAGGTCACCAAGGTGGCTATGTAGATACAGACTTGGGTCTGTTTCCCAACTTAATATCCAGTGATTTTTTTTCTAATTAGACTTTAAACATGTTGACTATTAAACTATAAGTAACAATGATCACATGGAAAATTAATGTGAATTACATTCCTTTGAAGAACACTTTTCAGTTACCAAACAATACCTTGTTAGAGAAATACACATTTTTATCACAGCATATTAAAATGTAGTTCTAAAAAATACAAAGACTATAAATGTACTAAAACATCTATGGTACAAACATTTTTTATTCGTTTTACCTTTTAAAAGGATTTCCAAACTGGAAATATTTGTGAATGTATATGAAATATCAGAAATAAAAAATAATCAAAGGTAACAAATATATTTAGAAGATAAATGTAGAAATCAAAAATATAGGTTGGAATATAGGGTTTTAAGATTGAAAGTAATTAAAAACATAAAGTATACTAACACATAAGCATATGTATATATTTAAGTGCATAATACATTATATAGTTCATATAACTGACTTAACAACTGACTAGCTTGCCTGTGTGTATATATAACTATCTTATATTAATTCCAAAAGTATTAATTATATTAGTAAATATTGTATATTTATATAATTTGTAGATAATATTTGTACAATATATT